ATTTATATGTAACTATTAAATGTATTTGTCATAAAATTTCCGTTTACCTATTTTTTATAAAATTTACTAGTTTAAACTGATTTTGTGATCAAACATTTCTATAGTTGATGATTACATAAGACAAATACTGGTTATGTAGTACTAAAATATTTAAGAACTACATTGAATTTTAATAGTTAGAAAGTGTAAAAAATATACATATGTTTATATCTACAATAAGAAATTAATATGAGACAATAAAATTAATAATAGTAATATCATTAAAGGGTTATTCTAGTCTAAACTTTACAAAATATCGATGTTTTTTTTTTGCATTTTCTGAAAGTTTACGTTCTCGAAATTATGTCTGCGGAAGAATTTGCCCGAATTCGTAAAAATAACGAAGTTATAAAAACCACTGCACACAACCCGTAGCGTACGACGTACAACCAACTCTTAGTGATAAAATTTCGGAAGTAATTAAACCGATCTATGAAGATTCATCTGCAGATAAATTATCGAAGAGATGAGTAGAAGCGGAAAAACAATATAATAACGAATCGTTAAATTCCTTGATTCGAATTTTCTTTCCAAAACATATATGTAAATTCAGGAGCAGCAGCCGTCGAAATCTTCACGTTTTTAGCTGTCAGTATATTCAACAAGGGATTTTCATCGATTCTGCATGTTTTTTTCTCAAGTTTTAGTTGCCTGATTGACTTCAAATTTTTTAGACATATTTAATAGATGTACCGTTATCGCAGGAACCAGGAAAACCAAAAAATTCCTATTTTTTTAAAATTTTATAACCCATAAAACACGAAAAAAGATGAAAAAAATCAACATTCAAACTTTAAAGTGCCCCTATTTTTTAAATTTTCAGTATTTGTTTTTTTATCTTGATACACATCATAGGCACATTCATTTTAATCAAGAATATTTTTGGCTTTTTCATTCCCGATAAGTAGAATGGCTGGAATGACATCAACCAGTAAGACACTTTTTTTAACAGGATTGTATTACATAACTTATGATTCAGTCAATTCTGATTATTTTCACTATAAAGAAATGGTGAATATTTTTAAAACATGAATAAATATGTATTCAAAAAATGGATACTATTAATTATAGTTTTATGGTTTCCTTGTAAAAAATCTCAAAAAAGATCTAAAAAATGATGCTCTAGACTAGAATATCCCCTTAAACAGTTTAGGTTCTAAAATACAAGTTTTTTTGCATACTTTAATTTTAAGAAAAGAAAATTTTACATGCATATTAATTTGAAAATAGATAATCTTAAAAGTAAAATGTACATAATTCATATTGCTAATAACTTAAAAAAAAAAAAAATATATGTAACTAAATATCTATATTTTTTTGTATGTAGAAGTCTTTCATATTTAAACTACAAATTTCTCAATACCCTAGTATATCACATCATTTTTTAATATATTCTACATAGAAATATAAATATATATTTTAAGCATACCTCAAAGTATGTACTATGTGATGCTAAAACCAATTTATGAATACGAAGCTTTTGTTCTTCACAGACAAGTGTAACATCAACAAGTGCTTGACGTGCCAGCAGCTCACTAAATTTTTCTGTAATATGTCTTGCATGACCAGCCCATTGTAGGACACAAATTTTAGCATTTTCAACCATCATGCCTACAAATTAAAAAAATACAAGAATAGTAGCACTGCAATGAATTAAATAGTGAATGAAATTACCAAAATTATACAAGACATTTTAATTATCAAATTAATGGTCTTCTCAAAAATACGTACTAAAATACAGTTAAAGCATTAGTCTTCCTCTATCGAGAGTAGTTTCAAAAAAAGCACCGAAACCTTTAATTGAATGTATGCGATCAGTAGAGATTAATGTTGGATACTGACATAGCGTGTTTGTACATTCTCTATTGAGTGTCATGAAGCACCACCAAGAATATCGATCTGTAAGATCATCGAGTTTACACAACATTTGCTTGCTAATGCTTCGAAATGAACAAAATCAAGACTTAAATGAAACTCAAAAATTAACCATCTTACATTACGATATAGTCACTCTGTTTCAACCTAGAAGTATATCTTTTAATGTAGAATGATGTTAAGGCAATTTAGAAAACGGTTGATGTGCTGCCATCTTACAGTAAGATCTTTAATATGATTTTTATATAACCTTAAATTGTAACGTTCCTAAGCGCCTTAGTCTTCTTCTCAAGCGGACACACGAATCTCTTAAATTCGCCATCTGAGTAGTTTGGACGGTGGCCACCAGATATCTCACTATCTCCTTCTGTTCTTTCCCAAGTGCTCATGCCAATTCTCATTTCTACATATACTATTCTCTGTATCTGGGACAAGGGTCACTTGTATCAACCTTAAGGCTGGTTCAAACACGTGCAGCAATTTAATCGAGTGGCGAGTAATGTAGTGTTACGCTATCGCATGAACTTCGTTTTAATCGCTCGTCGTGCATGCCCGTGAACGTGGCTTTAGGGCGGTCTGCATCTGGTGTCATGTGGCGCCCCGTAGTGTGAATGTTAAAGCGCGCCAAATTCAAATTGTGCATCGGTGTAGCCGAAGCAATGAACAAAAGAACTCAAAACATGTACATACAGTGTACAGTAAATCTCATTGATTGCTATTTGCAATCGTTCGTTAAAATCAATATTTATCGTCGTCGCTATGGACAAAACATTGCCGAGGTGTAAAACACTCGCTTTAAAGGAAATATGTATTGATGAACAAATGTTGAGAACCAATCAAATTCATCCTCAAATAACTTTATATAAAATCTTTAATTTAATTAGTGACGATTGTTTTAATAAAAGCATGTAAACATTATATATAAAAATCAACGTACGCCTGAACAAATTCAATTCAATTTTCCTCGTTTAAAGAGCTCAGACGTATTATCTCATAATAAAGTTATAGTTAAAACATTTCGTTTATTATTGTTCCAATCAAGTTAGTTTATTAAAAGTTTCAATGTTAGTTTTTCCTTATTCATTTAACTTCCTAATATTATTGCGAGCAGAGTACTTTAGTGCTCCACGGGCGGCAATTCCCTCAAATTCCCCAAGAACCCACGTAACAGTAGTAACTTACAATGTGTGGACACTAAAATCTAGTCGAATAGATTAGTAAAACGATTCAGAATAGATCCATTTCGTTGAATTTTTCTGGTTGAGTAGGTTTCCCCCACCACTCACCAGTAATCAACTAAACTTATCGGGACGCATTTCTTTAATCGAGCTCATTAGTATTCAAAATGACACGTTCGAACGAAGAGATTCCACTTCGGTTCGTTTGTAAATACAGTAGTGCACACATAAGCATCCGCAGTCGGGACCGAATGCGGATGCTTCAGTGGGGAGTGACTTCTGCGAATTTAACTAAACAAAAGAGAGGAGATGTGCCTGAGTGGGATACCGATACCCGGCACGTGTGAGTCGACAGTATCAAGTGTCAGTTGTTCACATTCAGAAGTCGATGCCGAATACAATATTATTCACGATGGCTGCTAATAGTACTGTTTCCAGTAAACAAATTAGTATAGAAAAACGATTAGAAATATTAAACAAATTAGAAGCTGGTGTAAGTGTTAATGATCTGGCACGGGAATACAATGTGACTGACAGAAGCATACGTAGAATTCGACAAAATGTTTTGTCGATACGACAATTTGCAGAGAATAGTCAACATTTAACAAGGAAAAGAATTAGAACATCAACGTGCGATGACTTCGAGAACCAACTGTACAGTTGGTTTTTGCAAAGATGCTGTTTAGGAGACAGGATCACAGATAACATTCTATTGGAAAAAGCAAAAGAACTGCAAAAAGAAAGTGGTCCTCCTAATTTTACACCAAACCGAGGTTGGCTGTGGCGTTTTAAAAAAAATTATAACTTACGCCTCGTCGATATTTATGGCGAAAGTGCTACAGAAAATATTATCGAGCAGTTTTCACAGATCTTAGAAGAAAGTGAAATTAGTGAAAATGACCTGTATAATATGGATGAGACAAGCTTGTTTTGGAACATGCTTCCAAATAAAACACTAGTAAGTGCCAGGGAGAAAAGAGTACCAGATAGGATTACTTTAGGTTTATGTACAAATGCAAGTGGAAACCATAAATTGCCCCCAATTTTTATCAATAAATATGAGAATCCAAGGGCATTAAAACATTGTAAAAATAATTTGCCAGTGTTTTACGCACACCAGAAAAATGCCTGGATGAATAATACAATCTTTCTGTCATGGTATGAAAATGAATTTAAAGTACATGTACGAAAACGACAATTAGAAGAAAATAGGCAGGGTAGGGTTTTACTGATACTCGACAATTTTAGTGGGCACATAGTATCAGATAATCAAATGGATGACGATCAATTCAAAATAATGTTTTTACTGCCGAATACCTCTTCCCTGATCCAACCAATGGAGCAGGGCATAATTTCAAAATGTAAAAAACTTTTCCGACACAAATTATTACAGCGAGCATTAAAATATAATGGTGGCATACCAGATTTCTATGGAGATTACGATATAAAAGATTGCATAGATTTAGTCAATGAAAGTTGGGGCAGCATTACTGCAGTAAACATTTATAATGCATGGAACAAAATTTTTAATCGTACGAGATTAATCCATTCTGTTACTTCTTTGTCAGAAACTGTTACACACAGTGCAGCATATGAAACAATTTCTGATGAAGAAGTAAAAGAATGGATTGATCAGTATGAGGAAGTGGAAATAATTAGAGAAGATGCTGTTGAAGAAGAGGAAGAATCTTCTAATTTACGGTCACCCTCACCAATAGAAGCAGAAGAAATTGATAGATTCCTGCACTATTTGGAAAAAATTAGATTAATGGAACCTGAAATTGCGAATCATGCACAATCTATAATAAATTATTACAATTCAAAATAATTTTTATTTATTGTGCCATTTATTTTGGTTATTCACTTGGTTATTAAGGTTATTTTTTCATAGCATCGTTGTTATTTTTTTTTTATTACTATTATTAATGTACTATTACTACTACTATTATTATTATTGTTATTATAACATAGTTAAGTAATATGTAAAATACATAATATTATTTTAATACTTATAGAAATAAAACAATATTTCGTATTATTTCTTCTGAAAAACTGTAGTGCGAAATATTACAACAATCCTATTCTTCTGAGTTTTTGGTACGGACCCAACATTTAACGATCGCGATATCAAGTTTCACTCAGCACGCTCGAACTTCACTCCGAAGTGCTGTTTCCAAGAATTGGTGGGGATAGCGACGGACGCTTATGTGTGCACTACTGTACCTTGTTTACCATTACCTCTTTATTAGAGTTGATTGAAGAAATTGCATTTTAGATGTCAATTTAGGGTGATTCCTTGCCAAATCGATCACTTTGACGTCGACATCAGGGATTTTGTTCCATATGAAATATAATGTAGTGCACGTGAAATTAGGGGGGCTTTAAGTCATCATTTAGCTGATTTCTAATTTATTTAAAAAATACGGACCTTTGAATTTGGCGGCAATTTTTGCTCATTTTTATGAAAACGAGCTGTGCTTATCAATTTCTTTTTATCTCGGAAACTATTGGTTGAATTGAATTTATTTTTTTTTTAATATAGAAGGATGGCTCTATTGTAATAATATTTTTATTTGAAAAATTGATTTTATAATAGTGAAAATTATAAATAAATTCTTGTTTTGTAAATTTCACTGTGAAGACAATATCAATAGAAGATATTGTTGTTAAAAATAATATAAATAAATAACCACTTAGTCGTATACGAGACTTGTCGATATTGTTTTTAAACCATATTGCAAGTACTATGGGGTACGAGCGGTACAGACAACCGACCGTAATAGCAGAGCGCGTGGCTCGCTTACATAAAACGGCGGTACATCAGCCCTTTTCCAGCTCCTTGTGAAGCTAATTTTAAAGTTTCTATCCTGCAAAAGAGCTCATTTTGTAGGTAGAATTTCAAGGAACGTAAAGCAGTTCACTGTAACGCTTTGAGGAAGAAGGACGTGTACGATCAAGCCAATTTATTCTAAAAATCTTATTTGTTATCAGTTCTTGTTGTTCTTTGTTTTTATTGTTTGTTGTTTGTTGTTTGTTATTGTTGGATTATTTTTAAGAACACCCTGTAGAAATAATCGAGTGAGGAGAAAAATGTCTCGGCGTTCTTTTAGACAAAGGCACTAGGACTTCCACCAGATGTGTCTGGTGTTCTTCTTCGAGTCAAGTACTGCACACTGCAATACAATAGGATAAACAGTTCGTAAGTATAAGCTTTCTCTTTTTGGGTGTCCAGAGACAGTTCCATAGAGCATTTCAAACAGTAAAGTCGTTTTTTCAGAGTCGTAGAGTCAATCACCTATTTCCAATAGTTATTTTTATTGTTTTGTTGTTTACTGGCATAATGTCGGTATTACCAACAAACGAGGAATTTGATTATGTCGCATTTGTTGAAGATGACGATGTTCACAATTGCGAACAGTCTTCGGATGGTGCAAGTGCATCGAACAGCGATGCTGAGCCCGAAACGCAGGATTTGGAACCAGATGAATTTGATATACCAAAATCGACAGAAGATGTAGTTCCAGAGATCCAAAATATTTCTGGTCGTAATTGGCAGCACATTGCACCTAGCAATAATACCGGAACAATGCAGAACCATTCAAGAAACTGTTCGCTAACACAACAGAGTCAGCACGTAGAAACGATCGACGAATGTTTTCATTTGTTTATAAATAAGCAAATAATCGATACCATTATTTTACATACCAATATCAAGGCACAGAAGAATATGCCACCAAACAAAATATGGAAGCCAGTGGATCATGTAGAAATTGACGCATTTTTAGGTCTTCTACTTCTTATTGGGCGATGTAAAGAATCTCGTGAATGCAAACAATTTATGGAAGGAAAACAGTGGAATTTCTCGACAATTTTATACCGCAATAATGTCACGCAATCGTTTTACCGATATACAGTATAGTCTCCACAAGTGGTAGACCGCAAGGAAGCTAAACCTGACACTCGTAGAGTCAGGGTCTACGTTTTCGAGCCTCGCGCCACAATCGTTTTACCGATATACAGTATAGTCTCCACAAGTGTCAGACCGCAAGGAAGCTAAACCTGACACTCGTAGAGTCAGGGTCTACGTTTTCGAGCCTCGCGCCCGCCTTTGTAGTTTGCCGAACGTAGTCCAGGACAGCGAAGAAAAGATAAGCATGAAACGTGAGTCGAGGCAACCAAGCGATTTAAATATCATCTTTTTTAATTTTACTTTTTTTATCCCGAAATTTTTCTTAACATCTGAAGAACAACGATGACTAAAATTCAAATGTTTATTTCCCTAAACCTTCAAAATAATTTCGAAATATTTTATTCGAAGCGGAGTATTCCAAGTCAGTATCGATAATTGAAGAAATTATTTGATTGTATTTAAAAGAACCGAAAGGAGAATATTTAAAGTCTGATATTAAATGTCTAGCAAGTACCAGTAATTGGTAAAATGATTTATATTTGTTTTAAAAGGAAAATTTCTAATAGGTATTAGTTAAAATGAATTGTTATTCAGTCTATTGTATTGAAATTCTAATTGATTCTAATGTATACAAGTGTTACAAGAAGGCTGAGTGTGTACAGGGTGGACATAGGCTAGCTAGTAGCCCCCGACCACTCTATGAACTTTAACGTCTATACTCGAAAGTGTATCGTCAACACTAACACGTTACCCAGATTATCCAAAAATTGAAGAAGTTACTTTTAAAATTGAACATTCTACGGTGTTTCGAGAGATTTGATAATCATAGTCGAACCTTAAACGAACGTTCAAACGAAGAAAATTTTCCAAAAATCATTTCGTACGTTATTAATCGATAAAACAAAAATTCATTGTTGAAAAATAAATATTTCCTGAAAATCTTCATCTTCCATACAAGATTCAAGATTTTCCCTAATTAAGAGTAATTTCAAAAGATTATCTGTATAAGCTATTATTTCAATACGCGATGCACTGACTCTAGTATTTACTAAAATTCAAAAATTCTCGTATAAATTCCGAAAATAGATTATTAATTACGGTAAACTACTGAGACGGTTTAATTTAGGGTGGGCATAGTGCACTCGTTCCAAATCAGCTCACAATATACAATAATAAATCAACTAACTACTTAACATGCAATACATGCAAATTCCTTGTATGGTAAATTATTAGTAAACAAAATTCAATATCAGAGAAAATATATGAAAAATTTCAAATTAATTCCAACTGCTGCAAGAAAAGTACATATTGATTGTTATGCTGTAACGAAAAAGCAACCTATTCGACCAGTCTGAAGAACAACGATGACTAAAATTCAAATGTTTATTTCCCTAAACCTTCAAAATAATTTCGAAATATTTTATTCGAAGCGGAGTATTCCAAGTCAGTATCGATAATTAAAGAAATTATTTGATTGTATTTAAAAGAACCGAAAGCAGAATATTTAAAGTCTGATATTAAATGTCTAGCAAGTACCAGTAATTGGTAAAATGATTTATATTTGTTTTAAAAGGAAAATTTCTAATAGGTATTAGTTAAAATGAATTGTTATTCAGTCTACTGTATTGAAATTCTAATTGATTCTAATGTATACAAATGTTACAAGAAGGCTGAGTGTGTACAGGGTGGACACTGACTCTAGTATTTACTAAAATTCAAAAATTCTCGTATAAATTCCGAAAATAGATTATTAATTACGGTAAACTACTGAGACGGTTTAATTAAGGGTGGGCATGGTGCTGCTTTAGTTTGAAATGATTTATAAACACATAATTAACAGAGGAAAAACCGTGAAACGGCAAAACGTCTACATTCTAATTGTTATAACATGTAAACAGAACTTTAAATTTAGTGTAAACAGAAAAAATATATAATACAATTTATTTCACGGTATTGCAACAAATAAACGTTGAATCAATATTTAATTCGTATAAAAACAATTATTTAACGTAATAATTTTACCTTCACTATGGCTATTTTTAATCTACGACCACAGGTCAACCTGATTTCTAATCCTTACGAACTTTAAATTCAGTCTAAACTGAGAAAATATATAATACAATTTATTTCACGGTATTGCAACAAACAAACGTTGAATAGATTCTTAATTCGTATAGAAACATTTATTTAAAATAATAATTTCACCTTCACTATGGCTATTTTAAATTTACGACCAAGGGTCAACCTGATTTTTAATCCTCCGAACTTGATTTCACAACGAGAAAGTAATAAGATCGTTGAAACGTACTTATTTGTCAAAGAAACTTGCAAAAATGTATAAATAATAATATGTAATGTTTTAACAAATTTTTGGAAGTATAAATTAATAATAAAATTGTGAAAATTAATAAATTATACGTTATTATAACATTAATAGAATTATGACTAAACCGAAGTTCGAAGTCGAGTATTTAAAGTCTGATATTACGTGCCTAGCGAGTGCCGGTAATTGTTAAAATTTGTTTAATAATTAGTAATAGAAATTCTAATTGATTCTAATGTATACAAGTGTTACAAGAAGGCTGAGTGTGTACAGGGTGGACATAGACTAGCTAGTAGCCCCCGACCACTCTATTCACATCTCAGAACCTTCAGGTCAAAATACGCCGCGAAGTGTCTAGGGCCCAGTATAAAGGGTAAATGATTTCGCGGGACATCGGCGGGTCCTTATATACCTGCGGTACCCTCTCCCCAAAGTCATTAGCAAAATCGTCGGTTAGGTCAGGCGGGAAATTTTCGCGGGAGATTTTCGCGGGAGATTTCCGATATCGTAACACGGTATAATTTATCAATTTTCACAATTTTATTAAAAATTTATACTTCCGACAATTTGTTATAACATTGCATATAACAATTTA